TCAGGCGAGCGACACAAATCATCATTCATAACAGAAATGATTTAAATGTTGTAGTTTTATTTTTTTAGTCATATTTACATATATACTATTTTATTGCACATAATTACGTCAACTAATATTATACTTTTATTTAAATTTATTATCTAAAGTGTTCTTAAGTGAATATTGTAATAACATATTTATAGTAATTGTAATAAATATATAAAATAGAACAGAAATAGAGTAGAATATAAATAAATATCTTTATTCACAAAAATAGGTTGACAAACCAATAAATGATTTAAATGGCTCCACTTAAAGTGAATAGTGTCGAGATACAAAAGTAATAAACAATTTACAATAGTACAATACTTAGTTAACCCTTTAGGTGACAAGAGACTGGCAATGGTACTTTTTAAGATATTTTGTCTTAAATTGTAAAATAAAATTATAAGGACTATAAATCAACCGTTTTTTACGCAATTTATTAGAAAACAAAATTTTTTGAGCTGCAAAATATTTATCCCAATAAACTATAACGCTTTCTTCTTTCGCATAAATTCAGTGGGATAATCATTTTCCGCTAATAAATTTTTTTAAAGGTGTAGGTACATACAATGATAGATATATTAAAAATCACAAACACACTGAGCAGAAAAATTAACGCACCACCTCAAAATTCGGACATTTTTGATTTGTCGAATTTCCTAAACCTGTTGTCTGTTTGAGTGATTTTTTTAACATTCTATAGCATTATTCTTTAAGAATACCGCTGTATTAATATTTTTGCTAGACAGGCAAATATCATTGTATACTGGGTGTAACAATCATACTGTGTTTTTTTTTCGGAACACTCTGTGGAAGATTCTAGCATTTATAAAATATTAAAATTAAAATTGAATTGTAGACTTAGTCGTTTTTAATATTTTGTTTTTTGATTTATTTGCTTATGTTGGATAATAACAGAGATATCTACTTTTATACTAAAAAAGGTTTTTGTTAGCATCACGTAAGAATTATAGGTTATAATTCTTACGTAAAATATGCATCAGTAGTAACAAAGTAACAAATATAAATCAATATGATATGTGTCATTAGCGCGTGTTTCCGCCTTTACTTTTAATGACGGATTTACATTGACGAGACATACGCGAAATGATGTTTGCTATTTGGCCTTATTTAATATCATTCCAAATCTTAAGAGCTACTGTTTCTAACTCTTTTAAGGTTCTAGAAGGTGGTAAACGATGTCGTATGCTTCTGCCAATTACGTCCTACAAATATTCGATCGGTTTAAGATCTGGACTATGCGGTGGTCAATTCAAAGTCCGAAGAATTCATCATCATTAGCCGTTTTGTGTTCACTGCTGAACATAGGCCTTTCGTAAATATCGTGTCTAGCCCTCCATTCTAATATTTTATTGGTCCAACTTCCATCTCTGACTCTGACGACATGGCCTGCCAGTTCCAATTTAGCGTTGTAATTCTTATTTAATGGCGTCTGAAGATTTACCTGTTAAAAAGATTCGGTTATAGTTCATGCAACGTAAGATCTTGCATCATCGTCCATAAAAAAAAATTGTTTTGCCAATATAAGGAGCGAAAGATACAACGTGCTCAGATAAAATATTGGTGCACCTTTCACCGTTTAAAGATCTTTCCCCTAAAGGAACAAAATCTGTCCAAGCTGTTAAATAAATTCCTTCATAAACCATTATAGACCCTCCATTAAATAAAGTCGTTGTTCAAATAAAAAAGATTTGGTCGTTGGATTACTCTTAAACCTCGATCGGAACTACAGAGACAAAATCTGGATTCATCTGCAAATGTAACGTTTTTCATGTCGTCATTCCAGTTTACGTGTGTTCCGGCAAATTGCAATTTATCTCTGCGGCGGTTTGCAGTTGATTCCTGAGCTGGTCTTGGAATATGCTAAGTAATTTATATTCTAGAAGACTTCTTCTTTGAAGTTGCACTCAAAGATTCCTTGACGTGACACATCTTTCTCTTAAAGCACATAATTTAATAAAACGGTGGTAAACGGCCGTAATATCTCAAGGGTATACCATGTCCAGGACGTCTACTGTGGTCATTTATTTCGATAAAGGCAGTGAACACTACGGGCAATTGATGTATGTGAAACTCCCCACCGCCGACCGATAACATGGTAGCTAAGTCGCCATGTAAGGGTTACTGCTAAAACAGACTCATCACAGGCCAAATTCCTTGTAGCGTAGTGCGTTCCATTTCTACAAAACAACAAAATAAAATTACGGACTTAATTAAAACTTTAAATAATAAATAAGAAAATTTTCAAAATCCGTAACACTTTTTGACCCTTAATATGACATCACTATCAAATTGTTCATTTCTCATAGTCTAATTTAGGCTTATTTATTAAACTAAACAGAAAATAATTATTTATTGATGAAAAACATGGCTAGTTGTTAAAGTATATAACTTTTTTATTACCTCACATAAACAAATAAATCAAACAACAAAATGTTAAAAAAATCTGAGGCTACTGCTGTGTTTTAATTTCATTATTTTATAAACGATAGAATATTTCACAGAGAGTTGCGAACTTTAAAAACAAAATACAGTTTGATTGGTAGACTCCATGGTACAATGAATACAAGGTATGATATTGCGCATGACATTTGACAGCTAGCCATCAGCTGGCCCAGGAGTGTGACGTAGTCAAGACCGCTCGAAATGGCTCGAACCCATTATTACAGCTTAAGGTACACATGAATTTTGAAATTATGGTCAAAAAATGATCAAATGTTTTTTTTTGGTTATAATTGAATAAAAAATATATTTTCAGTTGCGTAAAACCTTTACTTTTCCTTGGGATTTAGGCGAAATATTTATTTTGTTTTCATACATATACTAATAATATAAGCACTCTTTTTGTATGCAAATCCGTTGAAATTTAAAAATTTTGTGCAGAGGAAATACTGTGAATAGGTATTTAGTAGATTTAGCGTATTCTGATTTACTGTCACTCACAAGACTTGTATAAAAACAAAAGTTCGACAATTAATATCGAATATCAATGGTGACGATGCAAATTGCAAGTTATGAGATAATAAATATATTTTAAAGAGTCATCTATTTGATAATATAAAAATAATTTAGATATATGCTGACATATTTATGTCTTTTTATACAAATATCCATTTCGCAAGGGCTAAAAAAATTTGATGGGTAAAATTTAATATCGCCCGTATCCCAGACGAGCGCGTAAAAAATTACCAGTAAGGCGCGCCTGTGTCTGAGACTTGAGTGTATTTGTGGTGTTGAGTTACTGTTTATTTATACTGTATAGTATTTTTTTGTAAAACTAAAAGTTTTTATTTGTCATTTTGTATATCTGGTTTTATACCTTTTTTAAAATGGGCTGTGCAGTTGCTTGTTGCAATGAAGATAAAATCTTTATAGGCTATTCCACGAATATACGACTGTTTTGGTTTACTGCAACAACGAATATTTTACTGTGCAAGTAGAAGTATGAAGGTCAATTAGTCTAATCATTATTCTAATAAAAAGGGTCTACTAGTATGACATCTAAATTAAAATTATTTCAGTTAAAATCTACAAATAAATACAATGACGTCTTTGAAGCCAAATGTGTTCATCAGACATTTGGGTAAGCTTTCCGTGAAATGTAAACACCAAAGAGGCGTGCCGGGTTTCTTTGATATACCACATTTTATTACTTTATTAGGTATTACAACTGTAATAAAAAGAAATATACTATTTTTAATATAAATGAAAAGAAATTGGCAGAACGATGGTTCACAAACCAGAAAAAGGATCTAATATTTCACTTTGTTAGTTTTAAATATTTGTTTGATTTGAGTTTATGTACTCTTAAAAGTTCCGAAAGTAACAAGTATAACATACCGGCTATTGATAGTTAAAGTACCGAGTCGTTACAGATATTAAAAAGTAACGAAAATTTATATACAGTTTCATATATCGCCGACTGATTATGGCTGTGAATCTGATCGTTGATGATAGTTTTAGAAGATTAAGAGAATAAGTGAATAAGTAAGTTTTTTTGTTTTTTAATATTAATTGAATATTCGACTGAAAAATTTACAATATTTGATCATTTAAGTATTGTTACATTTCGTTTAAATCACATAATTCAAAAACCAACTTGTTTACAATGAAATAATTGAAATGAAAAAATAAACTCCATGATAGTAATTATATACTTCAAAATCTGAATTACAACTGTTTTATAAACTATTAACTTTATATTTATATCATGACTTCATATTTTATTATCTATATCTGTCGTAACAGTATTTTAAAAATGGGGAGAATTTACTACTGTACAATTCAGTACATTGGACCATTTAAATCGACACCTTAAAGCGAATTTAAAACAGTCGTATATTCGTGGAATGGAGTATAGGTTTCATACATTTCCTAAAGATAGTTTGACCAGAAAACTGTGGATAATATCTTGTTGTAGACAGGATAAGTTTAATTGTAATATTGCAAGAATTTGTTCTAAACATTTCAAAACTGAAGATTACCAAAGAAATCTACAACAGAAACTTTTAAATTACGTTTCTAAAAAGGGTCTAAAACTCAAACCTGAGGCAGCACCTAGTCTTTATTTCCCTAAATCAAAATCGGCTACCCTTTCAATCAACCAGAAGAAAAACATACAAAGAGCCGAATACAGAGAGTCCAAAAAGTATGTTGAGCAGCTTCTTACTACTTCTAAGTCAACGACGTAAGTCTAAATCTTTATTTTTATCATCATAAGTAATGAAAAATAAACAACATCAACGCATAAAACAATCAATTTTTATGCATAGAAAGGAAAAGCATACTTTTCTTTTCAGTAGGTATATTGGTTTACATTATTCTAAAAGAATATTACTTATCTATCTTTCTAAGAAAATGATAAATAAACCTCACATCAGATGCATCGCAACCGTCTGCATGCATGGTAGCTGGCATCAATTTACTACTTGTTTTAGTCCTAATAAAAATATATGCTATTTTTCAGTCAACTCAAAGTTCAAGCTCAAAAAGGATATTGTAGTCAACTCAATATTGAAGATATACCATCAACATCGTCAATAGGGTAAGTTAATAATAATATTGGTTAATGTATGAACCAATCAATTTTTATGCCTAGAAAGGAAAAGCAGTATTTTCTTTTCAGTAGGTATAATGTTTTAAATTATTTTAAAAGGAAATTACTTACCTACCTTTCTAATAAACTGATAAATAAATCTCACATCAGATGCATCACAACCATTTGCATGGATGGTAGCTTACATCAATTCACTACTTGTTTTAGTCTTAATAAAAATATATGTTATTTTTTTCAGTCAACTAAAAGTTCAAGTAGAAAGAAGGATATTGTAGTCAACTTAATATTGAAGATGTAACATCAACATCTAAGTCAATAGGGTATGTTAATAATAATATTAGTCATGAAAAATAAAAAATATCAATGCATGAAACAATCAATTTTTATGCCTAGAAAGGAAAAGCATACTTTTCTTTTCAGTAGGTATAATGTTTTACATTATTCTAAAAGGATATTACTTACTGATCTTTCTAAGAAGATCATAAATAAACCTCACATCAGATACATCACAACCATCTGCATGCATGGTAGCTGGCATTAATTCACTACTTGTTTTAGTCTTAATAAAAACATATGTTATTTTTTCAGTCAACTCAAAGTTCAAGCTCAAGAAGGATATTGTAGTCAACTTAATATTGAAGATGTACCATCAACATCTAAGTCGATAGGGTATGTTAATATTAATTCCAGTAGCAACTTGATTGTTCTTTAAAACTTATTTAAAACAGTATGCAGACTAATGTGCTTAATTTTTTAGGCTAAACACTAATCATACCAATGAGGCTTTGGAACTTGCAAATTCGAGAGAAAAAATTAAACTTTTAAATGAACAAGTAGCTGAACTACTTCAGATAAAATCAGCAATAGAGAAACTTTTTACACCGAGACAATTAAAACGTTTGCAAAACCCAAAAATTCGTACCGTATGGTCTGTGGAAAAAATATCCCAAGCTATATCCTTAAATTCAACTGGTACTAAACAAGTACAAATACATACCGTTTATTTTTATTTATGATTACACATTATAAAAACATAATTTTATCATCTCTTTATAATTACTATAATTAAATTAACTAAATTATATAAAAAACTTAAAATTAAAAGTCTTTACTATACAACTACATTCAAATGTTGCTGGAATAAGCGGTCTTTACTATGTCATGCGCGAGAGCGAACCGATTTTGGAACATTAAGTATCATACCTCTTGTATTCATTATACCATGGGTAGACTCAACATACAATGATAATTAACCTGTCTAGCAGCAATATTATTACAACAATATTGTTACAAAATAAGGCTATAAAATGTTAAAAAATTAACTTAATTTGCACAATAGGTTTAGGAAATTTGAGACATAAAAAATGTCCCAGTTTTAAGGTGGTGCGTTCATTTAGCTGCTTAGTGTATTGTATGTCACTTTATACTTACATAGAGCCACATTACACTTAACCCAAATCATATTACTTTTTTTTCTTTTTTCTTCGTACTGCATAAGCTACATCGACGGTATGTTTTAATCTTCTCTGGGATATAAGCACCTAAGTTTGAAAGACTAAAGGAATTTTCTAATTAGGCCCATTAGAACTTTTTCATTTTCTCCCTTTTATTTCACCTAGAGCGTAACCTATTTTTTTTGAAATCAAAGAACTACTTAAATTGACAAAGAAACATGATGTCAACATAATTATGGGAGATTTCAATTCCAAAATAGGGAAGGGCAGCTTTGAAGACATAGTTGGACCCTATTGTCTTGGAACAAGGAACGAAAGGGGCGACCGACTTATACAATTTTGTCAAGAAGAAAACATGAGAGTTACCAACACATGGTTCCAACTCCATCCCCGTCGCCTATATACTTGAAAATCTCCAGCCGATAGAGCTCATAACATAATAAGAAACCAGATAGACTTCATCCTTATAAACGGTAGATTCAGCACAACTGTCAAAAGAGCTTGCACATACCCTGGAGCAGATGTCCCTTCTGACCACGTACTATTAGTGGCCGTCATAAAGATCGCTCTTTCATGCAAGAACAAGCCTGAAACTCAACAACAGATAGCACTGGATAAACTGAAAGACCCAGTGATACAAGCAAAAATAAGCAATGAAATAAACGCACAAATTCAAATATTAACGACAAACATTACCGAAGATATAACACCAACATGGAATACGATTACAAGTGCTGTAACAGACATCATGAAAAAGAACTTAGGGTACAAACGAAATAACAAGAAGCAAAAATGGATGACAGAAGAAATACTATTACTAATGGAAGAACGACGAAGACACAAGAATAACCAAGATGGCAGCAATATGTATGAAAACATTAACAGGCAAATAAAAGCAAAAAGAAGAATAGCAAAAAATGAATGGCTTAAGCAACAATGTATCGATCTAGAACATTTACAAAGACAACACGACGACCGTAATTTACATAAAAAGCTTAAGGAGACTGCTGGAATATACAGAAAACGAAGACCAACTACCATAGTTAATCAGGATAACCAGATAGTGCTGGGTGAAAAGGAGAAAATTGATATATGGGAAAATTATATCCAGGAACTCTTCCATGACGAAAGACCCATGAGTGAAGTTTATACAGACGACCAGCTGACTGGCCCTTCAATCACCAAAGAGGAGATAGAAAAAGCAATATTAAATTCAAAAAACAATAAGGCACCTGGACCAGATGAGATCCCGTCAGAAATACTCAAATTACTAGATGAAAGGGGAATTTCAGCACTTCACAAAATATTTAATTTAATTTATGAAACTGGCTGCTATCCTCAACAGTGGTTACGCTCTACCTTTATTCCCCTGCCCAAGAAAGTCAATGCAAAAAGATGTGAGGATCACAGACTCATTAGCCTGATGAGTCACACTTTAAAGATATTCTTAAAAATACTACATCAAAGATTATACAAAAAATGTGAAAGGGACATCAGTGATTTCCAGTTCGGGTTTAGGCAAGGTTTAGGAACACGAGAAGCAATAGTAGCAACACAGGTACTGGTCCAAAATTGTTACGATCAGAGGAAGGATGTGTTCCTATGCTTTTTAGATTACAAAAAAGCGTTTGATCGTGTCCAACACCACAAGTTAATGCAGATTCTCAAGAAAGTTGATATAGACCAAAAAGACATAAGATGCATTGAAAACTTGTACTGGCATCAAACGGCACAGCTAAAAATAGACAATTCTATATCTAAGCCCATACATATAAGAAGAGGCGTTCGACAGGGATGTGTGCTTTCCCCTCTTTTATTTAACATTTATTCAGAAGCCATATTTCAAGAGTCTTTGGAGGATGCAGAGATGGGAATCAAGGTGAATGGAGTATTGATCAACAACATACGATATGCAGATGATGGTGTCTTAATTTGTGACAACATAGTCGATCTTCAACAACTTGTCACTATAATCGGAGAATACAGTGAGCGAATGGGACTAGAGATTAATACCAAAAAGACCAAATTCATGATCATCTCCAGAAACTTGGATGCATTTGAAAACTCCACCATAACACTGAATAGTAAATCCATAGAAAGAGTGAGTAAATTTAAATACCTGGGATCGTGGCTTTTTGAAGACTGGGCATCGGACAGGGAAGTAAAATGTCGCATTGAGCAAGCTCGACAAGCTTTCGTAAAATTCAAGAAGGTACTGACTTGTTCTGAGTTCGATCTTCAACTGAGACTAAGGTTTACTAAGTGCTACGTATGGTCAGTGCTGCTATATGGCGTAGAAGGCTGGACACTCAAAACGAGAGATATAAACAGATTGGAAGCTTTCGAAATGTGGCTTTATCGCCGTATCCTAAAAATACCATGGACAGCGAAAATCACAAATATAGATGTCCTTAAAAGAATAAACCAAGAACGCCAACTTTTCGAAACCATCAAGAAAAGGAAAACGGCGTATCTAGGTCACATCATGCGAAATGAAAAATACCAGTTCCTCCAACTTATAATCGAGGGTAAAATTGAAGGCAAGAGAGGAATGGGACGCAAGAAAATGTCCTGGCTCCGAAACATAAGGCAATGGACAGGGATTAACGACATACAATCTCGTGATACATATTGCAAGAAATAGAGAGTTAATGGAAAATGTGATCGCTAACATCCATTAGTGGATTTGCATCTGAAGAAGAAGAAGTAACCTATTTTCTTTATATAGGTGAAATTACCAGTCAATTGGTGACTAAAATTGACCGATATTTAAGTTGTGAAAAAGACTTCTTTCGCCTCTCTTTCATTATAATCTTGTATACAATTTAACTGTTTACAACGCAAGCCTTAAAGAGGTATTAAAAAATCTTTATCTACCATATACGTGATTTAAGATCTAGTAAAATGACATATTTTGTTTAAACGTATCTATTTCTCCCATGTACTTATATGCCTCTATAATCCTAGGACATTTCACTGAAAGTATTTCTTCTTTTTTATTTCTACGCATTGTAGAAGTCACTTTAGATGAGTCGTGGATAGAAGATATGACAGAAACAGTTTTAATAACCCGGTCTTTCCACTTCACAATTCCAACATGACATGAATGTGTAAAGTCGTAATCACCATAATGCGTTTTTTGTTAGGCTTTAGGCATTTAGGATACTCTTTTCTATTTTGTCTAATTGTTCGACAGGAAAAGATTATCAATGAGCAACCTCTCAATAAGCCTTATACTGTTAAAAAATTATCAAAATATAGACAATCAACTTTTCCGCCAAACTTCTTCGACAAAACCTATCTCAGCGCAACAACAAGGCCAAACTTTAAATCCTAGTTTGACGGCTTCATAGCAAGGTATTCTTTCGTTGACGAGCGTCTATTGAAACCAATTATTTACTCATCTATTGCTTTATTCTGCGATGGATTGTAAACACGTGCAAATGTCTCCTTCAGTGGTTTATAAGTCGAAGTGTTTTGTAAAGTTTGTGGAATCCTTTATATTATAATTAGTAAAGCTCACAATTTTCAGAAATCTCTTTAAGGGCATAGTTCTTTTAATTTTCATAATTGGACCAATATAGTTTTATATTAGGAAGGTAATTGAACCTCATGTATAAAACCAAGAAATATTTTTAACACTTTTAATGAAAATTCAAACTCGGTGTTTTTTTGATGAGCCTACAAAATTACGTTGGGTCACTAGTTCCAGTCAATATTCTTTTGTCAGGAAAAAGCTTTAAATTGACAGTGGAGTTCTTGTGTGAATTTTAACTTTAGGTCGAATTTTACTAGTAAGTTTTTAGTAGTTTACTAGTTAAGAAACTTTGGTTCAGTCACATTTTGTGACAGGTGGCTGAATATCTTCATTAGAATCGCTTTCCATGTTAGACGATTCAAGTTTACCATTACGTATTTTGAATGAACTAACTTTTTCCTTGTAGTCAAGATCTGCGACAATATCATCTCAATTCTCAGAATACCTATGGCTAATGTGGTTTATACTGACTTATGAAGTTAAGGAGGATGACGTAATGTTGGGGTGTACCAGGTTAAAGGAATCGGTAAAATGTCTGCTGCGTCAGAATCCTTATGAAAATTGGAATTGATGGCCATAACGTTAGGTATCCCGAAATTCACCACGTTTAATTGATGTCACTATGTCCCTCCGTTCTTGTTCTGTGAGACGTTCTTTAGATTGTCTTTCGACGACATAGTCTCTAAAGTGAAAAAAATAGTACGTTACTGCTTTGTAGTGAATACTGACAGACACTGTTAATATATATTTCAAAAACCAATAAGTTAGTCTATGACTTACACAAAATTCGGTTTATGTCGTGAAATCATCATGAAATATTTTCTTAGTCGAAACATTTTTTTAAAGTGAAATGCAGAATTATATCTTTTATATAGTCTGCATTATGCATTCTATTAAAATATATTTCAAAAGATCACGAAACGACAAAAAA